TAATTTAATAATTAAGAAATTACTTTAAAATAGATTTTAATTAAAAATAATTAAGATTTATGTAGAGTAATATAATCTAATTTTTGTTGTTTCAACACATAGGTTTTATACCAGGAACCAAATCCTGGTATTGTTTATCGATATCGGATTCCTGGAAATGCAAATTTACCGAGAAGCAATCATTTCCCGCATAATGCAGGTATTATTTCATTATAACAGTATATTTCGAAAAATATAATTCAAAATATCAAGTTTATTGATTTTTAAATATTTCTTGTAGCAGATAAAGAATTGTCGTTTAGGTATTATTTTATTTATATAATTTTTAGACTCACTTTGCTTAAAAAGATTTTATAAACAGACAAAAATTGATGTTATAAAGTTACTTATTTAAAGTAATAAATATTGCATGTTAAACATGTAAAAAGTTATTAAAAATAAAAAATTGTTTGATTATAGTTTCCAATAAAGGCGTTGAGCATAATTTACAAAATAGAAGGTAGGAAATTTTTTTTATAAATTAATGTATATTTAATTTATCCGAAATAAAATGTTGGATAATTTGTGCCAAATATAACACATGTATCAAACAGTCTACTTAGAAAATAGTAAATATTGTGTTAAAAACATAATTCCAAAAAAGGTAATGCTGACACAATTTGTAAACCAATTGTGGAAGTATGTATTTTTTAGTATAATTAACATTTATTGTATGTTAAAATTAACACGTATTCCATTCATTCATCTTAGAATTTACGTTTTAAAACACATTATTTTTACGTTACTTATTTACTTACTCATAAATTATGCTATTTAGACATTAAGAAATGTTGAATATCAATTTAACATAAAGTCTTTCAATAACATAATCACATTACGTTAAATTAACACTCGAATATGTTAAAAAATTCAACACAAACGGTTAATAAAAATGTATGCCGACCATTTCCAATACAAATACACAATGTTTTTTACCGTGCAGATATAATCTACCTTTTAATGATAAACATCATGTTTACAATTTCATATCTAGCAGTTAAATAATCATAAAGAATCTAATTTTAGATTCGAGAATGGACCAGCGATGAGTAATGTAACATCGCCACTGTATTCACCGCGACGTTATAGGAAAAGAAAATTCATCTGGAAAGCAATTGGTCACGGGGAGTGTAGTAAATCATGTGGTGGAGGTAAATGAGAATTATAACTGATAATTAGTTTGTTTCATAATAAATTATGTAGAGATTTACGAGTTCAAAGAGTTTCTATATGTTACATAAGGTGTACAAATACTCAAACACGTGTGTATCAAAGAGCACTCGCAGCAGCCCGTACCGGAAAAAAGATGCCATGGGATAGAAAAACTGCACGAAATTCATCTCAGATGTAATACCATGCCATGTCCTCCCAGGTAATCTGATTTCAATTTATATTCCGTACGTAAGAAGTTTCTCATATCGATTATAGTTACCTACATTTATATTACATTTAATCTAACTTAATACTACATTTAGTCTAACAAATATAATTATTATGTATTATTATTAAATCGACGTTATAAACAACTAACGTTTTTCACATTGACACCCAGTGCAGGTTTATATGCTCCTTATTAATTATTATTGTATATTTATGAGCCTTTATTCAAAGAATTTATTACATTTAAATTAAATAAAAATCTGATTAATTTAAAACACTTTTTCTTATTTATTTTTAAAATAATATATTTATATATTTTTTTAAAATAAAGCTATATTTTCAAAGGTGGCGAGGCGGACCATGGAGTGACTGTTCTACTTCTTGCGGTATTGGGGTTCGTACACGGGAACTCGAGTGTGTACAGGAAGTAAAAACGTCGTTAACGATGAGAATTGCCGATGGTGCCTGCACAGAACCGAGAAATCTTCCGACAAGCGAAGTGTGCAAGATGCCAGCGTGCGAGGAGATTAGGCAAACGTCGACGCAGACGTCTCCTCAATTATTGACTCCGCGATGGACCGTGGGTGTTTGGTCTCAGGTAATTTTGTTCACGCAGACACATATACCCAAAATTAATCAATTTAATATTGATTTGTTATATATAAGAGAAATAAAAAAATAAAACGTACGATATGTTATATAAAATTTGATATTTAGTAAGTTTCACAGAGTGATACTATGTTAGGTAAAACATTCTAATTATCATGAATTTTGACCAAAAACATTTCAAATGATATCAATTAAATATCTTTAAATGATTTTTTCCGTCGGTAAAAAAATAGTTTCTAAAAAGAATCTTTTTAATTCTTCTATTATAAGCAATTATATAATATATAAATATTTCAATGACTGCAATTTTCAATAATTATTTAAACGATTGTAATTTTTTATTTCTTATTTGTTATAAAGTGTTCCGTGTCCTGTGGCGTGGGAAAAAAAACGAGGGTCGTAACTTGTGCTACTGAAGATGCTCCATGTGATCTCTCAGAAAAACCTGAGGTATATGAAACATGCGACTCAGGATCATGTCCGGTGAAATCAACGCCACTAAACGTTGTTTCTGCGAAGCTTCAGAGCCCTCAGTGGTTATTCACTGAGTGGTCTGACCTGGTAAGCCTTTACCACTTGCAAACTCAAGAAAAAAATCGTTCTAATAAAAATGATCATATAATTAACTTATTTCTTTTTATAATAATAATTTATTAATGAAAGCACTGACAAAAAATATAATAATCACAATTTTCAAGTTATTATAGTATCTAAAATATTATATTTAAAATTATGAAAATTAAGAAATTTTTATATTAATTTTATCAACAATTTATAATTATCGACTTTAGTGTTCGGCAGAATGTGGAACTGGTGTCCAAACTAGGAGAGTTCTTTGCGAAACAAGCTCTAACGAAGAACATTGCAATGAATCGAGTCGACCTGAGACTTCCAGAGATTGTTCGAGTAACAGAACTTGCAGCGGTCAATGGTTCATAGGACCGTGGACGGAGGTCAAGCTTAAATATAATTTTCTATATAAAAAGTCTATAAAAATTTATTAAAATTTTAAATATTAAAGTAGAAAATAATATCACAAAGATTATAGGTTTATGTATTGATATGTGTGTATACATTACATATGTTATGTACTATTAATATTATAATATGAGAATTTAAAAGGATATTTATAATTATATTTGCTCTACTACGTATATAATTATTTCAATATAAAAATATTTTTATTTAAATTATTAATAAGTGTCGAAAATAATTTTATATTTTTATAGTGTTCTTCAAGTTGCGATGTAGGTGAGCAAGTTAGAGATGTTGTATGTGTCACAACTCTTCGAGGCTCTCTACGTGTTGTCTTAGACATGAATTGTCCTGTGAACAAACCGGAGAGTAGAAAATCATGCAGAGAACATACCTGCACTTCTGATTGGTTTACATCAGATTGGACGCCGGTAAATATTTATTTTATTATACTAAAATCTTAAAATTAAAATCTTAAAGGCTACATAGAACTTAATAAATTGTACTTACTTCCAAAAATTGATCCGCAGTGTTCGCGATCTTGCGGTAAAGGTATTCAGAAACGCGAAATCCGATGTCTGAATTCAGATGGTCAATTACCTGAATCATATCAACTTCACTGCCGAGAGGAGGATCGACCAATATCTCGAAGGATATGCAACGATTATCCTTGCAGAGACGATTTACACGCGCCTGAAAATTCTCACAAGGTTCTTCAAGTTCAGGACGATCCTGAGATAACGAATGGTTAAGCGAATTTTTAAATTTAAAATATCGAAAATTTAGTAAATATTATACGGTTTATTAATATTTTAAAATTTCTCTGTAAAGTCTGTATATGGAAATAACGTTTCGCTGAATATCTAAAAATTTAGCTACATACATATATGTATATATATGTATATATAAATGCTGATCTAAAGAGATAACTTTGTTATATACCATTAAAATAATTATGTAGGATGCTTAAACTGGTTGCTAAAATGTTAAAACATTTTGCAGCATTGCTCATCATGCTTGAGTTTTGTACATAATTATTTCGATGGTCTAACGAAATTAATTTCAGTATATCTATATAATTTTATATATCTATTTAAATTTTTAGAGATTCCATAAAACGTATTCTTTTTGTAAAAGAGTAATCCTTCATCTAACAAATTATGTATAAAATAGTATTTTTATGTATCATATATATGAACATTTTATTTATTTTAGGTGTCGAAGACAGTCCAGTTTGCAAAGACAAAATGGTTAACTGCAATTTAGTCACGCAAGCGCGGCTATGCTCTTATCAGTTTTATAAAGAGTCTTGCTGTCTATCGTGTTCTCGAGGCAAGCAGGATTTTGAATAGAAATCCCCCCGACAATCATGCTCATTATGACTTTCTAATACAAAAACTGCCTTTAGTTTCCTGTTAGTATATATCGCCAATTAAAATTCTATTTTTGTCGCCTATTGGTACAAATAATTTTTAATAATTGATAGATGAAACTTTTGTACGTTTTTTATGTATAGAGATGTAGATATGCATGCTGCAGAGCAATTTAATATGAAATTCATGATTTCGTCAATAACTTTATATAAACAAGATATTTGATAAAGAAACAGAAGAGACTGAGATCGCGTATTGCGGTTATTGTGCAATTGCCGGTTTGTTGTAATGATCTGACGCAGCAATTAAATCCGCACTGTTCTCGAATAACCATAAATATATATATTAAGCATTAATAAATATTACGCTTTTTCAATACCTTGTTATTCACTTATCTTACCTTTTATTTCTCTGCTTCTCTTTTATTGCAACACTTTGATTTAGTGCAAAAAATTTTATGCAAAAACATACTGCATATTATTATTCAACAATGAACGAGGAACGTGTACTATTTACATTCTCTCTAAAATGTAAACCTATTTACTACATTTTCTATTAACAAAATAAATTATATTATATATATATATATACAAATAAAAAAGTTTTTTAAACTAGATGAGACATCATATCATGGAAACAAGACGATTTCCAGATATTGAATATTGAGCTTATAAATCTTTGATTAATTTTATAAATTTTTGATTAATCTGCTACTGATTCAAGAATTATCTTCGCTTTCCTCTGCGTTGTTTGTACTGTTATCGTGATTTTTGTACGCTGAGAAGAACGCTAAGGCTTTCATCAGCTGGTAGCTCTTGCTGATGGGTATATTACTGTCGTACAAGTTCTTTGAAGATTTACAGTCTACATAGAACCACCAGTTGCACTTTAGAATCGTTTGATCGAACAACGTTGATTCTGGACACAGGAAACTCTTCATGATTAGACCATCGTCTGTTAGTGCGCAAACGTGGAAAACCTAATCACACAAAAATCGATTTCAAGAATTTTCGAAACAGCGGAAATGAGTATTAAATAAAATTAATTAAATTCTTTTTTAAGATTGCTTTAATGTAATGCAGTTTTTAAAAGCCTCACCATACATCCCAAGTCTTCGTCGGCATAAAGACCCGGGAAATGTTTTTGATCGCCACAATAGAAGCTCGTATCCGGCAGATCGACGCGACTTGCGAAATTATCGTCGAAGTTCTTGTCGTATCCAACGGGATAGTATTCCCGCGGCGCATTCATCACTTTGGTAACTCCGGAGCTGTATTTACTGTAAATAGAAAAGTTGAACTTTTCTTGTCAATGACCGTATACAATTGTCTTTTATGCAAAGAAACGATTTTGTTGAAAGATCTAAAATTTTGTTGGATAGATTTGAAAATAATTTTGTTGGACTGTCAAAATAATTATATTTGAAATTTAAAAAATATCGTGATCAAGCTGCACAAAATTTTGACATTCTAATAACCAGTTTGAATTTTCAATAAAGTTATTTTGATGGTCCAACAAAATTATTTTCAGATCTGTGTTCAAAAAATTTTTGTTTTTCCAGCAAAATCGTTCATTCCGTGTACTTTCTACACAAAACATGTTTTATTTTTTATTAAATAAAAGCCTGTACTTTTTTCAAATTAATTACATTCTTGCTTAAAGGATTTATTAAATAAGAAAATTGGAAGTGTTAATTAGAAATAATTTACCTTTTAAGAGGTGGAAGTGTGGATATTGTGGTAGTACTGGGAGTACTAGTGAGTCCTTGTTGTTTTTTAAGAAGCTGTTGCTGTCTCAGAATAATTGCTGCTTCCAAAGCTTCTAAAGTAATATTACTTGCTTCTGCGAGAGCCTTCAACGAGGTTTCCATCCCTTGGATGGGGGCCAAAGAAGGTAAACTGCTGGGTAGTTGTACAGATTGTCGTTTCTCGTTTTGTTGAAGGCTAGTATCAGTTGCAGAAAGAGGTTGCAATGAGAGCAGCGTCATTTCGTTCACTGAAGCAGCCATCTCGTCGGTCGGCAAAGGTAGCTGTACAAAAATAGTAATAATATTTAAACTCATAATCTTCAAGTACATATGTCTCTACACGTCTGACTTATTAAAATATATTACAACATTTTTTATTGAGTTACGTATAAGAGTCAAAGTTTTCGACAAAATATACATAATTTAAAATTGTCGTAGTTTATTTCAATAACTGCTGCAATAACTATAATAATAATAAATAAGATAAGAATATTAAATAATATATTATATTTATAATATAGAGTTTTAATAAAATTATTGTTATTAAATACAGTTATACCTGTGTGAAATCATCTTTTGATACTTCGTTATCCGAGTCCTGTAGCAGAGAGCCACTACTACTGATTCTGTTCGTGAGTTTTGTTGATGATTGTGGCATCGCGATGAAAGGTGGCAAGCCAGCATTTGACGATATTGAATTAGCCGTTGCTTTTGATGATGGAAGAGCCTCGGCTCCGACCATACCAACTGGTGGAATTGAGGCGATGATAGGTAGTTTCGGCATCGCTCCCGCCACCGCTATTATTTGTGGCTGTGGAGAACCGAAAAATTATTTAAATTATAGAGACGAACAAATACAAAGTGCTACATATTATTACTAAAATTTAATCAAGCATAATATTAATTCTCAGAGTTTTTTTATTAGAATAATCAAAACTATATAGCTAAAAATATGTACATATGTTTGATATAATAGCGGATTCCTAAGTAGAAAACAAATCAGAAAAAATTAGAACTGACTAGAAAATTTGGTTATTATTGGCAAGTTGGTGTAGTAATCTGGTCAGTAAGGGCGATGCTTGTTTAGATAGTAACTAGATAGAAAATCTAGTAAGTATTAACCAGTTTCTAGCAAATTTCTAATTGGCCAAAAACAAAATTTATCGCGTAAAACGAGTTATAAAACTGTATTTATTTTTAACTGCTTTTATAATAGTATTAAAGTCTTAAATCTTATTAATAATAATATTCTATAACAATGTCAGATTATTATTATATTATCCATTAACATTCACCAGATGTTCGAAAATAGTAATATTGTAAATTAAAATATTGAATGATAAAAAATATCCTTAAAAAGTTTGATTAAAAAATAATGAATTGTCCTTTGATTTTTCCAATTGTTTGATCTTTCCTTATTACTATACATTTTTATAAAATATTATTAGATATTTTTTGAATTCCATAATTTTAAACGTTTCGTTTGATCTGACTCGATTTACTTTTTTTGTAACAAAAAAATGATAATTAGGATATTTCAAGTGTTACTAAATAAAAACTGGCCATTATATTATTTATAGATTTGCTGTTGTTTAAAATCTATAAAAATGTTTGCACTTGAAACAAGATAAATATACATTCTGGTGTTAAAAAGAGAGACGCAAAGATTCTGAGTGCCAAAAATACAAGCAATGCGAACAAATCTATTTAAGGATTTCTTTTGATCTAAGCAAGCTTTATCTAACTAAGATTTCTTGGCCAATTACTCAACTTACAATTACTAAAATAATTACTGTCCAGTAAACTAAAAAGAATAGAAACTAGCTAGTTTTTGATCGGTTTTTCCCAGATATTTTTCTATTTGGATTATTGTTCAAAGATTTTAAAATATTAATTGAATTGACATTAGAACAAAATATTAAATACATTGAGATTAAACTAAAATTGATCACCATAACCAGTTGATCCTTCTTGTTTTCTACCGCCATAATCTGCTGTCGTTGTGCGAGCATTTGCTGTTGCTGTTGTTTCTGTTGTTGCTGCATCTTTTGTTGCTGCATTTGTTGTTGCCGCATAGCTTCCTGCTGTTGCAGACGTTGTTGTTTTAATATCTGTACCGCTAACGCCTCCTGTTGTATTCTCTGCTGCTGTTTCATCTTATTTTCTTGGTGAATTCGTTGGTGATGCTGGCGCAGTATTTCTTGCTGCATCGCTGGTGTCATGGGTGCCGTTTTAAGAGCTGTTGCGTTTACTATAAGTTTTTGACGTTCAGGTTGCTGAGTCATCGGTCTGACTGTTCCGATAGGCAACGGCTTGAAGGGCGGTACTACTTGACGGTTATTTACCGATCCTGCACGAATGTCATCCCGATTGCTTGCCTAAAAAAGTGATAAGTATGTGTTCAGTATAAAGTAAGAAAAGAATTTTTTTATATCATCTTTTAAGCCTAATTTTTATAAACGCTAAATCTATTTAAAGCTTTGAAATATAAACTGCACTTTGTAGAAAGTTGCACATTCATTCGTACGTTGCCTGAAGAAATGTCAATAAAATTGTAGTCTAAACTTATACTTCATACAATCGTGGTGTATGTGATGTGAATGCCGCCGGAGCGACATTCACGCACCAGTTGTGGCAAGGCCGATATGGGCAGTTCGTGTAATTTAGATTTTCTTGAAGCGAAGATAAAAAAACCTATCCATCTTATTCGATTCCTGACCTACATATTTCTCTCGAGGTGAACAAAGCATCAATATATCACAGTCACTTCAATAATCCTCTTTACGTTAAACACAATCAGTAAAAGTGGATCTAACCAGTAAATATTATATTTTGCGTACAATCACAAAGTTAATGTAAACCGTAAGTTTACGGTAGTAAACGTAGTAAACGTAGTACATTCTTACATTCTTACATAATTTATTTCAAAATTTTAATTATTGTATTTGATTATAAAATTTTTAATTAGATTGCATCCATATAATGATTAAAATTTTGCTATAAAGATTAAAATTTCTCTAAGCGAAATGTCAGCTGTGAAGTAATGGATGCACTATGTGAATAGATGATCTTTTCTTTGACAAAGCGGCTACGAAATGAAAAGTTAGTAACGGTATTGTAGAATATATTACTATTAGGGTACTTGAACTTTATCTGGGTAATCCTATGATTATCATTGATCGTTACGTATACCGCTAGGCGAGATCAAGAGGCTGCATCCTGAGCAGATGCAATTAGATTGTACACTGTAGAATGGTCAAAGTGGATTTCCAGAGGGGATATCGCCAGTATGAATAACGATCGAGTGAACGCTTTCACGCTGATCCTCGTCTGCATTGGACTTTCCATGAGAGTCGATTGGAGTGGTTACCGTTTATATTCAGATGCATTTATCACCATACAGGATGTTCAGTCCGAAAGTATAACGTAAGCGATCGTGTTATGGTTAATGCTGGTACAGAGAGCTTCGGGGCAGAAAGGAAAGTAGAAAATACAACAAGTAAATGCGAAATAAATGATAAGCGAAAGTAAAATCGTCATCCCATTCAATTTACTTGAACGATCACATATTTTGTTGTATAGATACTATATACATATACAAGTAATATATACACATATATATATGCACATATGTATGTATACATATATAACATACATTATGATTATGTATAATTGGTATATTTTGGCATTCTGAATATCTTACACAATTAAACGAGCATAAACTGAATTCCTTTAGAATTTTTTACTTACAGCATTCAAAGGAGTAAACGCAACTCCATTAATTTTGTTCGCTTGAACGCTCCTTCTTTTTCCACTTTCCAAGTTGGAGAGTGATTGGCCAAAGCCTAGTTCGTCTCCAATGGAAAATCCTGTAACCAAGCAAAATTGAATTAATTTTATTAATTAGAGGCATGATGTGCAAACTGGAAAACTTAAAATAATATTGTGAGAAGAAAGAGCAATAGACAACGATTTATTTTATTTACAAAGAGGAGAAGACAGCATTATTGTAGAAAGCTTGCTAAATGTGTGTTAAGAGAATAGAGCCGCGTATAATAAAGCATAGATATACAAGTAGTCAGTCAATATATGTATAGAAATCGCAGATTTTTCAAAACTATTTTTAATACACCAATTTCCTTTTCTATTATTTTATTTTTATGATTATATTTAAGTACAATTATGTTTATATAATTTGGCAGAGTTTTATAAATTTGTTCTACAACGTATTTATTTTTGTTATATTGAAATTTGTATGTTATAAACTGTAGGTTCTCTCTTTTGAAATCTCTCTATTATTATATCTTCATTTACGCCACGATACAATCTATGTCAACCAACACTAGCATATATACATATAATTACTCAAATGAAACACTAGTAAATTAACGGCTTCTGAACTCGGAAGATATTGTGCAAAAAGAAGTTGCATCATTTTAACGCTTATAACTGCTCATTTTTATTGTCGACATTTGATCCTCAGTTGCATAAATTAAATAAAAATTATCTGTCGTGAAAAGATCTTTTACGAAGATGTATGATGAATATTTAGTCAACTGACCAGGTCAAGGCGATGAATAAATCATCATCGATATGTCAGTGCGTCTTTAGAAACGTGAAACCACGACATCGGTCGAAGGGTAGCATCCACTGTGACAAGTTGCGTTCGCAGGTTAAGCTATTACGTATTATATCTACATATATAAATCATATTTATTTCGTAATAATCCTGTTAATAATAACTCTGTTGCAATTTGCGATATTAAAGTAGTGTTAATTTATTCGTCAGTATTCTCTTAGCGAGTAATTTATTAAGATTAAATTAATTTAAATTAATTACACGATAAAGAATTAAATCGTAAGGTGTCTTCGATAATTAACGGAACAAATTAATACAAAAATGATGAAGCAAAACTGAATTTTTTTTAGATCAAATAATACAAAAAGTAATAAATATAGAAAGTAAAAAATTGTAAATAAGATTGTAGATATTCGATTTAATAATTGCTTTGACTTGCTGACAAGTTATGACATCACAATTATTATATTACTTAAATGTATTCGTCACATCCTTTCCAAAAGAAACTTTATGTAATAATCGCACGCAATTGGATGCATTTTCCGGCAATGACACCGCAAACGTGTCTATTAGCACACACGCAAATAGTGCATGGGCTAAAATTTCGTAACACTCAAGTCGCCACATTTCTCATTTGTTTAAAGAGAATGTATGCAACCAATAAATATGTATAAACATAAATCTGTAGAAACATAATTCTTGAACTATTGACAAAAAGAAATGGTTAAAGCAAATCACGTATAATTTAGCAATCACTGGATACATTTGCATTTATTGTACTATGCATAGAGAACGTTTTACAATATGAACGATGAGAGTATTTCTGAGTAAAGTTCGTTTTACATATAAACGTTTATTTAATTCATTCTCAAGTGATGTGAATCTTAATTCGTTCTTGAGAAATTTTTATTGCAGTTTTTGTAAACAGAACGATCTATTGACAATTCAAAACTCTCATTAAGTGAATTGATTAAACAATTTACGCAATATATTAAAAGAATGCAATTTGTTTTTTATTTGAAAAAAACAGCAATCGGAAAAATGTATCAAATGTAAAATATCTCATAAAATAATTCACTATATTTATAATTTATCTCCATAACATAATAGATTTTATAATTAAAAAACGATATTTTTTTATAATTAAATTTAATTTTTTCTTAATAGATTAAGTATCCTTGGAAATGGTTCATTATTTAAAGAGTTTTTGTTAACTTCATTAACACAAATTTAATACTCGGATTAGACAAGATTTGTTCGATTGAATCGGTTATACGATAATTATATCTTCTCAAGATCGTTTGATTTCTTTATACAATCTCCAATGTGAAATTAGTCGACGGAAGCAGATCGAAGACTGATCTATCAGTAAACATGATTATTGAATTGTATTGAATTGAATTGACGATCGTGTCCTCTCCCATATTCAACTCACCCAGGCCGACGTAACCCTTTACACCTCCGAGATTTCTGACCCGGAAGAGACCGGACTTTTTGAAAGCGCAGTTTAGAACAAAACCGAAGTCCGATTGAAACACACACGTGCCTAGTGCCTCTCGCCACGTACATCCTGCAAGCAGAACCGGAAGAAACAAAGCCATGGATCATTTTTCTGATCCATGCATCGAATCCGAAATGACGATCTGCACGATTCATTATGCTCCAAGATGAATAGTTTCATGAGTCTTGAAGTATCAATTGTCTTAAGCTGCATGTTATATTAATGATGCCTATCAAGCTCTTACATGCATTTACATACATTTTCAGTTATCAAATTTTTATTTTAATTTGTAACTTATGTTAATTATTTATAAATTAAGCAAAAGATAAAAAAAGAATTTACATTCGTTAATATAAAATAAATTACGAACACTGCGCGCGCGCGCGCACGCGAGTATAAAAGAAATGTTCATTAAAAATAGTTACTATATTGTCACTAATTATTGTAATAAAATAATGATATTACATTTAAACGTATATAAATGTATTTTTACTTTGATATATCAAATAATAAGAAAAAATAATATTTAAAAAATTGTTTGTTAAAAACGAATACTGAATAAGGGCACTTATTTATAAATAATTTGCATATTCTGTGCTATTGATTCTTCATCGTCTGTTAACGTTATGTTTTTAAAAAACATACTTTTAAGTAAAAAAGCGTTTGCGACTAAATAAATAAATTAAAAAGAGATTAATACTAAGATATTAATAGTAATCCTTAAAAAATGTGTCCAATAAGAAACTTTAATCAGCTATCTTCATTACATAATTTTTTCTAGATTCTAGAATGTTATATTATGCGTATATATGTATGTATGTAAAGTTATTTCTAATAAATTTATACTAAATTAATAAATTAATGCTATATATGCGAATAATAAAATAATATTCAATATACTTTTATTGTGTTATAAACTGCCAATTCCTTGTTGAAATATTTTTTAATTGTTCAAACAATTATTTATATTTATTAATCATTTATATTTAGTGATATAAAAATATGAATTCTGCTGTATAAATGAAAGTAACTTTATGAAAATATTTACTTTCTTTACCTCGTTTCTCGAACATTATTTTAAAGAGAAATAGCCTTGTCGCGAACCATAACTACTACGACAAAAAAAAGTAATAGTGATTTATGTCTACGTGTTTTCTCTTTGTTTAGACATTGGGGACAATAAACGACTGTAGACAAAATGTCATTAAATTATTCATCAAAACGACCTTTACTTTATAGCAGCAGTTTTCTATTTTCAATAATATAAACATACATTCCTTTCTATTAACAGAATTTGTAATGACGATATCATGCACTACAAACTTCGAACATAATTAACTTCTCATTAAGATATATATTTCTTGTCTATCTACGCTTATTGTAATGATAATTATAGAATGACCGTACAATAATGCATCGATTATATATTATCATTCAATTATATGTATTAAAATAATCCGCGCATATCGAAAATAAGTAGGTTTTATAAGAATTGGAATGTTTGCAGAATGATCATTCTGAACTTCGTGAAAGGTATTTTCGGAATTTGTTTAAGGAATATTTACCAAGTCGAAGGCGTGCCATTGGGCCACAGCCTAGTGACCCACTTGAAACCTGACTAAACATACTGGCATTGATCAGACACCATGTGTTACATGGTTTCAATGTGCAAAATTGCTTTCTTTCTAATATTTTTCAATAATATTTTTCTTTCTAATATTTTTTCAAAATTGTGAAAATCTTTCTCAAATTTCGACTGATACTTTTACCGTTGTTTAAATATAAGTATTAATCGCGATCATTTATAAATCATTTCCGACTTCAATACCAAAGTCAGTATAACGTTTTTTCATTACGTTCATTCACCAGAAACAAAAAAATTTTCGTCATCAAATAATTATTTAATTGTGAGACAAGAACATTGACAAAGAACATTGTAAAAATAATAATTCTCGCTCTTCAAGAAATGTTGTTCGCAGACTGGAGAAAATTGATAGTTAAGATCTTTTTTTTTTTTAATTAGAAACAATCGGATGGGAAATAACCAAACTTTTTGAAAGAAATTATCAAAACGTTGAAGAGTACACAAATTGTTATAACGCATACAAATGAAATTGATAATTAACATGGATTAATAATTTCGTAGTCTGTTGATGAATTTCCTTATTATATATAAATACAGCTAAGGGAATCCGGAACTTCATTTGATACTGTGGTTTTACTTCGAATTTATTATACAATCGCGTACTGTACTGTGACGCACGAAAGTCGACGAAACGAGTAGCGTTTCGTAATGTGAGAAATTATCTTTGAAAAGAAATTTTACGTTCCAGTCCGATAAACGGATGTAAACCCATATTTTAGAACATTACTTGTAATGACACGTTGCGTGTGTGTCATTCATGATAGTGAAAAGCAAAAGAAATCAAAGCTGCGAAATTTCACCATGATTTGTGATAAATTAGATGCTATCCGATCATTAGTTATATTCAAAATGACATTCGCAATTGAACGCACATATAGGTTTATTAATTTGTATTTATGTCCACCGATATGATACAAAAAATAAAATATTGTTATATACATGCTAATTCAATTTTAACATAATTATAGTAGGTTTGATAAAAAAATATCAACAAGATACATTATTTATCTTGCAATAAAAATAAATAATATTTCAGCAAAATTGATTGTATATCAAAGAAATCTATTTTTTAATTAGATTATTTGTAGTAAATCGCTAAAATGGGAACGATGATATTTGGCGATACAAATCTTGCACATACTTTCATTTTTTCGCTTTTGAGGGATACCTGATGTAATCAAGTCACGATATGATTCTCAAGAGTTATTATATATATTTCTGCTAACGATGGCGAAATTCACTTTTCTTCACTTAACCGGGATTCTCATCGTCGAACGACATAACAATCGTATACAGGCGAAACCGTGTAATACTTTTCTAAGACTGGCCTTCACCTTGACTGCCCGGCCACTTCGATAATATTACTCTATTATCTTATTTTGCACTATAATAAAATCTCAATTCTAGAGAAAAAGAAGAAAATATCGATGTGACATTTAGAAACTTACGCCAATCTCTCCTCTTGCAGTTAACAATTGTTGATACTAAAATAAACATTTAACGATCCATTAAATTGTACATCCATTAAATCATTAACCATGATCAATCAAAGTAAAATCGTTCAATGAAGGAAAGTAGATCACATTTTACTCTCCGGAACGTATTCTTCATATCTTATCATTATGTTTATTATTATAACGGTACATAAAATAATTTATCAATCTAAAATTAGTTATAAATATTGTTATTACAGATTATCGGGTACAAAATATTTTTATATAAAGTATCCGATTTGAAATAATAAAATCTGAAAAAAAAATTTTATCTATCAATTATGAATTTATTAAATGACTGACGTCAACTTAACAGAAATAGTATTGTTGGACGTAACTAAATAGAAAGTATGCGCACAGATGACATTTACGTAAACAGGTTGGCCTGATTCCCCAAATACGCATCCCGCGTATCTCGGTAAAAGGATTATTGGCAAAAGCAACCGGTCATTCTTCAGGGCAACCTATAAATTTTTCAACGCGGGCACGTCGTCATTTTAAAGTCATTTAAAACGGTACATTCTCCTGTTTTCATGTCACGTACCGCTTTATTGAGTTTGAAGAAATAGATTTCACACATATAATAAATAAATATTATTATCCACATATAAATAATACTTACAATTATATATAATCTCGATATTTTAAGACAAATAATGTTTTGTACTTTTAAAGTCACATGTATGACGTACTTTAATAAATAAAAATTGAACAGATTAAATAAATCTAATTGCATTTCTATTATCAGCGTATTTGCAGCCTAGTAAAAGGCCGTGTTCCGATACACCGCCAGTATTGAAAAATTTATGATCCATATTACGTACATTATAGATTTTCAGTACTAGCACAGTATTTCTAAACACACGGCCCAGCGACTAGTTAAGAAGTTAGTCAATACAGGAGTAACTGACCTCAATTTAACTTAACCACCGAAAAAACACACTTCACTTTAACGCCAAATTCTAAGCCTGGAAAACTTATAGTTACACTTCAATGCATAATATTGCAGACATAAGTACGAAAGTCATTTTTCTGATAATCGCGGAGAAAGTTATCACACATCTTTAATTACGCGTCATTTCCATTGATATATTAAGTTTATAGCATGTATAAAAAAAGATCTGCATGCTGCATCTTTTACAGAAACTTCAGCAAATACTCGTATCTCTTTCTCTTCTTCTTCACTTTTGTAAAAATAATACATAATTATAGTTGAAGAAGCGAAGTCGACTTCAATCCCTTTCTCCTAGATCACTTTCGATGACAATCATCTAGCGATCGAAATTACGTACTTTCGTCGACAGCCTGCTCTATTTTTCTACTCTACATTTCGTGGCGCGTGTATCCAATCTTTGCGTACTTTCTATCCTGCATCACTGAACAAATCAATGGCAATACTTTTCTCAATGCGGTAATTTTTGATCGCCTACACGTTATGTATGCTACTATTGCGCGCAACGTATCGCGTAAGAAATGTTTTGTTATATGAATCTATTTCGAAACACTTTTAATCTTACGATGATATCATCGGGAAATCAAATAATGTAATATTTAAATGCTTCCTTAATTATTAAAAAAAAGTATTATTGAAGATAAAATTATTTTAATTCTTCGACACATTTTAACAATAATAATAAAAAGAAAATAAAATCATGTGTGTCCATATAACAATCGGAAACAAAAATAATAGAAACGAATTAATAAATTTTGTAATCTTTTAGATCAAATATTTTGTTCCTATATTTATATACATACATCTTATTCTAAATATTATATGTTTATTTTAGTAAATCAAATAATGAGCTACAAAACAGACTTTATTTTTTCAAAGTGTTATTAAGCCTATATTTGAGCAATGTATACATAAAAGAATAAATTAGTTAACGTAGCGAGAGTCATAGCTAATCATACTGTTTCATCATTTTTATTTACACATTATGTACACATACATTAGATATACGATATGTACACCGACTAGTTTCAATAACTTCCTTTCTGCTATACAAAATGGATAAATAATTTGCAATATTACGTGTAATATTAACAAAAAGAATATTATTATGTCTTTGACACATATATAAAAATACCCTTTTTTACATACTGAACTATTTTACATGCTTATTTTATACACGTTTATTTGTTGTAAAGATATTATGAAGTACAAATGTACTAGGACTATTTATCATAAAAAATATATTAGGTATTTATATATTTTCTATATATATATATAAAAGATTTTTATTTATTTCTCTTTAGAGAGATAATTTTGATTACTACGTTTTTGCAAAAATATAAAAAATTTTTATGTAAAAATCTTAGGTTAAAATCTTTAAGAGATTTTCACTGATTCTGACGCATCATGACACATAATGATGTGTCGAGTGCAATGTACTACAGCATCGACCCGTAAGAAGTCTGGCTGCTTTTCACAATGCGTAACCATCGCAGTCACGCTCAGATCATTACAAACAGTAGCGTGAAATTACGAAAAATTATATTTTTGCACAATTCACGTATCTAAGTAGTATGCTGTGAATTTTCCGCGGAACATATAATGTCTGCTTAAAATGTAACGTCACACAAATACCCATATATACAGTCAGATGCACTTTAGGGAGGGAGGAATTTCTTTGCTAGAGGAAAACAAGACTATTAGTATAATAAGGAAGAAATACGCTGATTAATTGATCAATTTACAGCGTGACAAGTGCAGTCAAGTTAAGAATAATTTACAGACATTGAAATCGATAGCACAGAATAAAATTATGCAATTCATACAAGGCGTAATAAAAATGAGAGAGAGGCCCAACTAATTGAAATCGCCCATGTAAAAACGCCGACGGTTTTTGCGATCGGCTTTCAAATTCGACTTTACTGCAAATCGTTGATTTAAACTTCATAACAAGTCTGAATAAGTCTGCGTTAAATAAATATTCAAGTTCATCTCTAATAATATCAATAAACAATAAATGATAATCAATGCCAATCATTTTAGTAATATTAATAAATTTTTAATAATTTAGTATATTTTGCGATAATTTTTTTTAAATTATAAAGCAAATTATATAAAGTTTGGTTAAAAATTTTCTGATTAACAAAGGATTAATATAATTAATCATAGTATAGAATTTTATTAAAACACGATTGTGTATAGGAAAATTTGAAAGCCGATGTTGACAAAATAAATAAAGTATTTAATAAAGATTTACATTTGTATGCATCGAACGATTAATGCATTTCATTATTCTATTATAACTTCAGAATTAATTCTTATATTGCAATATTGATGGTATAGGTATGTATCTCAAGCTCTGGATTTATTTGATATAATATATAAATTATTTTGATTAATTTAATTAATGCACAATTTGCTCGATAAATACAAATGTTCCCTAAAACTGAAATAAAAATAACAATTAATTGAAGATATCAATGTAGCAAGAATAATAAAGTAACCGGATGCACACTTGCACATTGACAGTGTCAGTTCTGCATTTAAGCATCTTATACGAAAGAAGTAGCGTAGCTGAATGGTTTTTTGTGACATTTATCTTAATAAATATTTAAATATTAAATTTAAAATTAATTTAAAATTCAGTTAAATCATAATACATTAATTTAACTGTTTCAATGTGAAAACGAGAAAATAAATTTGCATAGCTAAAATCGATTCTTAAAACGCACTAGTAATTTGATAAATATTACTCTTCCTTAGATCTATTTTCCATAAAAGTGAGAGTATAAGTATATATTTTTTACGAAACAAACGAAAAAAATAAACCATTAGCTACGTTATTTCCATTATTTTTCAAAGAATAAATAAATTTTGGGTTGGAATAAAAGCTCGTAGCGCTAACTTTATTTGTGTCATGCTTACACACGCTTTAAAAAATATTTTTAAAAAAATTTGACAATTATATCATTCGATAGAGCAAACTTTCAGCTTTAAAAAATCTGTTCTTTAAATTGTGGCAATCTTTAACAAAGTTGTGAGCAATTAAAATTAAAATACTCCTTTTATTAATCCGCGATGATTCAGTAATAAAAAATCTTAGAAACATTTTCAAAAAACGATTTTGTAAAGAAAATTAAGTTTTCACATTAGAAAATTGAAAATTTTTGCAAGAGAAAGTAATTTTGTTCAGTTCGCAATTTTCTACATATTACAATTACCAAATTTCTACAAACTTTAAAGATATAGTGATGTTTAGAAAGTAGAGATTTTAAACTTTAAATTATTATCTTAAATTTAAAGTTAATTTATTGTTAACGAAGTTATTGCTGCTTGAATTTTGAAGTGCGTAGCGCTACGAACTTTTGTTTCAATCCAATACTTACCGACGACCACGAAAAGGAATAATGTAGTGGCGATCTTCATTTTCGTCGATCCAGTTTTAATTATCACTATTCTAAGAATCTCAAAGAATCGTCGATTCCCACGAGACGATCCTGAGGATCGTCAGAATCGAGAGACAGAAATAAGCGCTAGAAAGCGTAAAGACTTCACGGAGGAAACTTGCTTACAGGCTGATTGAAATCTTGCTGTAAATGATCGACAGTCACCGATGAAAAACGTGCGGCAAGCTACTCGATCTCGCGGATACTAATAGTATATGGACATGTTCGACAAAGGCAAGCACGCGGGGCACTTTCAGACTTCATCTGACGTCCAGGGCCGACCAAGTCCTGGGACTTTACATTCTATGATCCCCTTCCGTAGAAGGAGAACATCCCATCCAATACGATGTTTTAAGATTGATTTCGTATCATTAATATATACATTTTCTGAACATGAAGATTTTTTTTTAAGTTTGTAGTTCTAAAGCATATATGTAACTGATTACTCTAAGAATTAATCTATGACTCTAATATTCATTTTTTATTTGTTAATTTATTTTTAACATAAATTGATTTTGAATAATTTTTTTTATTATGGTGTACAAAATGACATTCAGAGTATATATTGCGATATTTAAAAGAATTGAATAGCATTTTAGTATTAATACGAGAAACTATTTAGTATTTAAATTTAACTATTCTCTTTATGACATAAGATATTAACAAATAAAAGGATAAATTTTTCTTAATAGCCTGGAAAAAAATGTTATACATATATATGTATATATTATGTTATATTATAATTATAATTATATATAATTGTATATAAATATATCAATTTTATATATAATTATATATAAAATTTTGTATAATTATATATGAAACATTTTTTCCCGGGAGTTCACTTTTTATGTTATTTGCTTTTCCTTTCTCTCTATTTTTTCATTTTACTCATTATTTAATTATATCTTTTTTTTAAGTATAATATTAGTGTATTTAAAAATATTATATATATAATTTTAAAATACCAATTCTTTAAATGAATTATTATTATGCATAAAATTATAAAATTTAATAAAATAAAATAAAAATTTAAATGGTCAAATTCTAAATATCCAAGAGGATTTACTATAAAAACAAGCCGGCCCTGCATGCCCCACCATGTTTTCACTGAGAACGGTCCGCTCACGGAACAAGTCCGATGCATGGTTGCGAGTTAATCTTGGCAAGGTGCCGGTGACCCACTCGGACGAAACGATAACGGGACCGACATGCGTTCATACAAAGACGACCAAATCGATTATACTGCCTGCGATATTTATTTAAAAAATTGGAAAATATTTTAAAAAATTATTTTTAAAAGTAAATTGCATCTGAGTCTATCAATGTAGATTAACTTTAATCTCAGTTTAATTTTAATTTTTTATTTTTTTCCAAATTTTTATTTCTAGAAAAAGTTTTTAAATTAAATGAGAGAGAGAGAGACAATAAAAGAAAGAATTTATTTAATAATTCTGAATTTATTATAATGTAAAAGTGTCGGGAAATATTTCTTCAGATCTTAAATATATTTAGACATTTTTAAATAAAAATTTTATATATATATAGTTCATGTATACATAGTTTAATCTATAGAATTTTATAATATTATTTTTTATAATATATATTATTTTCATAACATGACACATAAAAATTATTGCATTACAAAGAAGTGCCTAGGATTTAAATGTGCTGACTCAAGAGACAATAATTTAACAAAATAATTATAAAATAATAATGTTTAAAAAATTAAATCAAAACATACATTAGATCTTACTTTGAAATTTCCAACAAATCTTTTATCAAAATTTATCCGACCCTGCATACAGTTCGTATGGTGTAATACACTTTTTGTTGCGTTGATTTTCCTGTTTGCACTATACATTCAGTAGAGCAGAAATAGACAAGGGACTCGAAGAAAAGATTGAACATATCGTTTGTGGTGTGAATTACACATTAACAGTTGCGTTCAGGATAAGAGAGAGGCATGTTTCGTTGGAAACAACGTGCACTTTCATCCTACCGTTTCGATTCTAGAAGCTACTAGCGTATAATGCACTTGACCATGCGAAGGCCGAGAGTGGGTCAAGGTTTAACGACTGCGCTTTGCTATTTTATGGAGCATCATATTGCAATCGAAATTTCAATTATTTTAATGATTCTTATTATACAAGTAATATCGCTCTCTATTATAAATATAATGTTGTGATAAAAATATTTCATATATAATGAAAAAGCGTATGTACAGTTCTTATACAAGAGTTTTACTGTCGCATCTTTCAATTTAAAGTGTCGTGGCGATTATTACATCGTCACGACACTTTATTATTTTCGGATATTTTCGGAGAAAACACGCACACGGACTCTTATACTCGTACATACTTTACACGCACATATACAACAGTACTTGTACACAGGATTGGATCAGTTGGATCTCCGCGAAGACAATATAGGCACTTAAATTTTCGGATTTTTGTTGACGCTTCTCAAGCATCTTTTTTACATTTCGTGTGTTGTTTAGTTAAAGTAAAATATACATATAAAGATACTCGCACATAAAAAAATTTAAGACGTAAGACTTAAGCAGTAAAGAAATCAACATGTTGGATTCGCTACTGCTCACGTTACGATCTTATGGTTTCTACTGTGATTGATCGATTCGCTTACCGCTTAAGTCTTACGTCTTAAATTTTTCGATGTGCCCGAATCTACAATAGGTTTTTAAGCCTTAAACCATAAGAAATGAATGAATCGTAATCAATTATTCTCCTGGCATTCAACCGTAATTGGTCAATTTCTTACGGCTTAAAACACCTGTATTGTAGATCCAGTCTTAAACAACTCTGTATAATTTAGATCTTGATATTTAAACAATTCTGTAAATTTAAACGTCTCTATTTAAAATTGTAACTGTAAACCATGGTAAATAACAACAACTTATGGAGACAATATTTTAATTATCAAGAAAAAATCTCGAAGAGCATAAAGAAGAATAAGCGAGCGATCTCACGAATATTAGGGACGCGAATTCGACTCCGTCGACCATTTGACTCCGAAGAATAAAGACCTATAATTCGCAGTGCTCAGTAAAAAACGGTTTCTAAGACAATCGCGAGTTAAAACTAATTTTACCGCTTTACCATCCTTACACTCCTATACCACAGTTACTTATACTCTAAAGGTGCGTTCACAGTGCGTTGACAGAAAAATAGAAAACAGAAAAATTAGAATTTGCACTGGTAGTAAACAGTACAGAAGCTGAAATTGTCGACTACTAGCGCGAGTTTTCATTGACTTTACTGCTTTCTGCTTTTCCGTTAAGGTGTGAACACGCCCTAAAATGATGATCCCTACGTAACTTTCGTATTTGTGATAAAAATTCGAACAATCGGTCGAATTGAGACTTTCTTGATGGAAATTCGCGACCGACGGTGAAGTGACTTAATGAACATAAGTGAACAAAGAGATGGCAAAGACTGTAATGGTGGTTACACGCAAGGAAGAGCCGCGAATGCAGTAGACGGTGGAACAGCAGCAACAGTATCTCAACAAACAACTGGTTTTGGACAGAAACCTAAAAGGAGTATGCCGCATCAGTTTCATCTCGATTTTATAGGTCAGTTCACGATGAATATTAGTATCAGGTGAGGACAATGTCGTGGCTGACACGCTGTTGAGAGTCGAGGAACTGTAATTGTCAATGGATTATACAGCATTAGCGGAATCACGGAAGAATGACAAAGAATTCGACGAGTATTTGCATTGAGAATTGAGAGTCTGCACTGAAAAAAATAGAAGTAAATCAGAAAAAAATAGAAGAGACGGGGCCATGTATTGTGATATGGCGACAGGAGTGCGACATTCGTTCCTGACAAAGATTTTTCGTCGAAGGCGACGAGCAAGCTCGTGGCGCAGGCCTACGTTTGGCCGTCCGTGAAGAAGAATTGTCATGGGTGGATTTATATATGTATATTATATTCGTGCATATTCTGCCAACAGTTCAAAGTATCCCGGCATGTTTCGTCACTCTTGAGCAGATTCATTATCATCTTGCAGATTTGAGCACGTCCAATATTCATATATCAATATTATGTTGTTTATTTCTTATTATACCAATCAAAAATATCAATTTCATTAAATTTTCACATAATGTTTTAGATATTATACAATATAATATGACGTAAAACAGTTTTTAACTTTTGTTTTATCTATTTCGTCAATTTAAACTTGTTCCTCTGCAATAACTGATTTATTAATTTATGTATTTTTTAATGATTTTGCTTCAATCAATAATGGTCGAATCATTGATTGCATGACTAATGTCATCACATAGACATGTCAGAGATTCAATTAAAAATTTTTAGTGGGTCGAGTTTTTTTTACTTACTTAATTCTTTTATATTATGTAAAGTCAAGTAATTCAAATTATACATAATTAAATTTTAATCAATTACACATATCGGTTCATGAAAGTCAATTACAGTCAGAAAGTCTTTAATAACTTTTTCTTTTTCGAATTTTGAAAGTGTCTCCTTATGAGATACCTTGGTGTTTTCCTGCAATAAAAGATTCATGTTTATTTTTTTAAGCAACTTGCACAAATCTTGAAGCCTGTTCAACTTCTGTTGATCATCTTTAATTACATAATTTCCTTGTATCTCATCAATATCATTGTCTACAGTGAGGTAATGCTTTTCGTATAGCACAGTTTCCAAAAGTTAATCTGCGCATCCTTTTTATTGCGTCTATATCTGTTAGCCCATCAAATATATTATACTCATCTTAAAGTACGTCTTAATTTTATATGCATCTTCGTTCGATTTTTGATATTCAGAATTTTGTAGCAAGATTTTCTTATCAATGATATCCTTAAATTTTATTGATTCCCTGAGGTCCCTGAGGTCATGTAGTTTACTCAAATCCATCTCTAGTTGTAAGATTTTTTAGCATTTCTTCCATATTGAAACGTTTATGGCGAGTGTACTCCTTCAACTTACTTTACGTACCTATATATCATCATATTTTTGAAATTGAATACGAAGGTCTTTGTTTTGTGAATACTAAAAATATACAATACTTTAAGTTTGTTTTGATAATTAGTAATGATGAGTAATTGAATTGAAGATATATATTCACGTTTGTAATTAAATATGTATGTGTCTGGCATAAATAAACATGATGTGCATTTATAAGGCTTGTAGTAAATTTAT